CCTCCCATGAGTTAGTTCATCTGCCGACCGCCCACAACACCAGCGCCGTGGGCGGCGGCGTACTGCACCTGCTGCATTTGCTGCATCTGCTGCATCTGCTGCTGCATCTGCTGCATGTGCTGCAGTTGCTGCTGGGCGGCAATGTTGTCGCGCCGCAGAGGGCGGCGGAACAACAGAATGTGCGGCTCCGGCTCGAACCTGATGCACAGACGAAAGGCAGACAAAGAGAAGGCCATGTGAGTGAGAGAGGTGTGTGACGTGTGTGTGGGATATATGTGAGTTGAGTTGGGGCCACCGACACTTCGTAGTTCTCCCAGCCCACTGTGAGCGATGCCACAGCCACAGCCACAGACACAGGGAAGGAAGCGTAATGGTCGGATGGATGTGTCGTGGATGGTTCTCGGCTGGTATGCTCACTGGACTGCTGAACGCCCAGGCTTCGCCAAGCGGCCTCTGGGGAAACCAACACAGCCACAACAGGGAAAGCAGGGCAGAGCAGAAACAACTGAGCATGCCATCCATCCATCCATCCATCATCACACATACCGCTCAGCAGTTGGCTCCCTGTTCGGTTGCGCGCGTCCACAGCCTTCTTATAGATCTGAACACCCCACCACAGAGGCCAGGCACCCAAAGCAGATTGCATGCATACAACGCCATCATCCGGCTGTTTGTGGAGTGAACTGAGTGGTCTGACGACCTTCCTGGGCAGGATGACGTGGCGATACTCATACAGGCCGTCGTCATACTTCTCGCTGTACTCTATCTCGTCCGCTGCACACCACACATCATAGAGCAACGACACAGTGCCATGTCATGGGCTCTTCTCAATGAAATGCGCTGTTGCTGACGTGGCGGCTTACGGTAGTGAGGCATGATGAACCGCCGCCGAAACGCCGCCTAGCAACCTTACGATACGCGCTATGCCCGGCCGAGCGCTCAAACCTCCCCAACACAAAAGGAACGAAGCTCGCAAAGGTGTTAGGGCGTGAAGTTGCACGGAATTTCAGAGGCAGATCTTCGTCCAGAATGGCTGACCGCGCCTCAGGCAATATGTGCAACTGTCTCGCTGTGAGGCAGGAGCAAGCCAACAGCCTGTTGACGACAATACGAGACCGCCAGAAGGTGAGAGAGAACGGATGGAGTCCGCCATGCATGTCCCTGCCATCCCCTCTTGCTGTGGTTGCTCTTGTGCAGGTCAACAGTGAGATCATCACGCGCATTGACCAGAAGAGGGCAGCAAACACGAACGTCGTTGTGGGGCAGAGGGCCAATACAAGCTTCAACAATGGCACGTTCGTCGTCACGTGGAGCAACGTCACCACGCCCGTGGGGGCATTCATCGACGGTCACGTGGTCGAGGCCAAGCTGAACGTCATCACAGCCGATCCCTTCAAGGACAACATCTGGTATCAGTGCAAGACCTCCGCCGACCTGAAAAGGCTCAACACGGCGATGATGTCCGCATGCGAGAACTGGGGCCACTATGGCGGGTGCGGCGACTCCCTGGAGGTCAGCACGTGTCGCCAACGAGTGGACCAAAGTCGCATGCATCCATTTGCCCTTGCCTACGGTGTGCCTGCAGGTGTTGGGCAAGTTCAAGGAGAACATCGACATGATCCACTGCGAACTGGGCGAGCTCGAGAAGACGACCATCAACCAGACGGCGGACGCCCAGAAGAAAGCAGTGGAGGAGCATATCAAGGCGCTCAACGCAGACGTGAAATCCCTCGGCATCCTCCTGGGATGTGAGAAGAAGAGGCTCATCTGCAGCAGCCAGCGGGGCTGTACCATCGCATCGATATTCAGCAGCTGCTGCGGCCGGTGTCGCGCTTTGGGGGGGTCCGTGAAGGACGAGATGGTGGAAAAGGGCGTGACGAGCGTGAAATGCCCACACTGTGGAGCGGGGCCTTCGGCATGGCACTGTGGGTCGTGCCGCCAGGCCGGTCAAGGATCGTTCTCGGTCACTGTTGCGCCTGTCGCGCCTGTCTGGTCGGGGGGCACAACGTCATGCTCTGTCCTCGCGGAATGACAGATAGCGAAGTGCGTGTGTTGCTCGTACCTGGTTGTCCATCCTCTGTGTGCGCTTTTTGTGGCTGGCTATCATGCATGCTGCGGTGTTCAGCGAGACGTCCTCTAGCTCCTGTGGCCGGCCTTCGGTGTTGTACTGTGGGCCGTGCGTTCAGAGTGGCCAGGGCGGTTGGAATGTCAGGCTTGAGGGTGGCTTCTCAGGCTGGTCGGGGAGCAGCACCTCAAGCTCTGTACTGACGGAGTGAGAGGGAATGCCTGCACTCATCGTGTGTGTTACGTGCTCGCGGAATGACACAGAAGTGGATGTCACCTCATGATGCACAGCGCTTTTTGCTGTGCTGAGTGTGAGGCTGCCCATTGCAGATCAGCCGATTGTGGTGTAGAATGCATATTTTGTCTCGTGCATGTGCTTTTATACATTCGGTGCTGTGCAGATCAGCCGATTGTCCGAACTGCAACACATGAGTGGTTGAAATGTGTTAAAGCGCTCTCACTTCCGTGAAGTTTGCTGAAGCCAAGCTGCAGACGGAGAAGGAGATTCATTCATCCACGGAAAAAGCAGAATGAGCAGCCTGGATGCTCTGGAACAACGAGACGCCCGGAGATCCCTTGTCAGACGGTCAGCACGGCTCCTCCGCAGACCCGCCACGGCTGTCAGGGCTCCTTCTCCCCAGCCAGCGACCCCTCGGCGGGGCACCAGGCGACGGCGGAGTGAGGCTGGGGAGGAGGAGGCCCAGGACGGTACACACACACGTGCCAGTCGGCAGCGTCGCTCCCGTTCAACAAGCGCTGCCGCAGCAGCAGCCTCTTCGTCTTCACCTGCCCCTCGTGAGCGTCGCAAGGCGCGGAGAGTGAGTGCGCCGAACCAGGCTGTCCTCGATCGCATCGAACGGCAAGCCCAGTGTGGCTGTCTCTCTTCGGTGCCATGTGTATAGCTTGGGTTGGCTTCTGTGTGTGCGCCGTGTGCTGTGTGTAGTGCGTTCCGTCATCGGCTGTTCCTCATCCGAGCCTCCCTGATGTCAGACGAGGAGGCGCGATTCGCTGTTCTGGGTACACTACACATGGGTGGCCCGGGGGTGGGAGGGGGACACATTCCTCACACTCGTCGCGCAGCCATCGATCCATCGTGCAATTGTTGTGGCTCTGGTTGTGGTGGGTCTGTGTGTGCCTCAGGACATACAGGCAATGTGTACGATGGTATTATGTCACGCACTCACCAGAGGCCGCGGGGATACATTCATGAGCCACGGATGTGCGCTGCGCGTGTGTGTGTGGATGCAGTGACCCTCGCTCGAGAGCCCAGGTGCACTTGCGTGGACTTCCGGATGCGGCGGGCGAGGGGCACAGGCGTATGCAAGCACATACTGTTCGTCTACATCAGGTGGGTGGGTCGCCGCAGAAAGGCATCACTCAATGCGCGACAGATGGACAAATGGATGGATGGATGGACGGACGGATGTGCGTTTCATGTGTTGTTTGTGGTCAGGGTGCTGCGGCTCGACCGCAATGACAGCCGCGTGTGGCAGAATGCACTGGTGAGGAACACACGAAGGGAGGGAGGGAGGGAATGAGCCCGGATGGATGGATGGATGGCTCCTCCTCTCCCTGTCTCTCTCCTTGTCTGTGTGTGTGTGTCAGTTGTCGAGTGAGCTCAGCGGCATCATGGAGCGGGTGGGGCAGGTCGCCCAGATAGCACCCACACACGTGCTGGCCGACCTGGAAGTCCGAAAAGGGTACAGCGAAGCCACCGGTAGGTGCCTCCGTCAGCCAGCCAAGGCTGCAGGATTGATTAGAGCATTCATCGACTGGGCTATTCCTCCTTGGCCACCTGGTGTGCAGGGCTGCCGATGGAGGGCGCTCAACCTGAACACGTCATCCATCGCAAAGAGATCATTGGTAGGCGTAGGCGTGTACCAGCCAGAGAGACAAGAGTGACCACCAGATGGTGTGTGTGGGGCCTCCATATCTGTCGTCAGGTGAGCGTTGCCCTGTGTGTTACGAGGATTTCCAGGCCAACGAGGAGGCGCGGAACCTGCTCGCCTACTGCCAAGTGAGAGGGACACGCACACACACATACACACACACACACACATGCGATTGAATGACATCGTTCTGTCTCTGTGCGGCTGCATTGGCTCGCTCAGACGTGTGGCGGGAACTACCACAGCGAGTGCATCAGTGCGTGTCAGCGAGTGGAGCGTCAGGGCTTCCGCTGCCCACTGTGCCGGTCGCCATGGAAACGCCTCACGGCCACACAGACACGAGTGCAGCCAGGTGCAAACAGCGGAATGGAATCGTGTGCAGGCATCTGTATGTGATCATCTTGTCTGTGTGTGTGTGTGTGTGTGTGTTTGTTTCGTGCAGGTGGCGTGCTGCCGTCGCCCCCCAAGACGCCTGCCAAGCCGAGACGGTCGCGATATCTCAATCTCGCGGCTCTCTCGTCAGAGCATCAGCATCACGGCGCTTGACGAACTTGGGGCTTTCTACGGGGGTCACTTTGGGAGCCAGCCAAGCGAGATCTCAGTCTGCCTGCTTGCCTGTAGCACAGCTGCATGTAGAATAATAGTAGGCACTGCGATGACACACATCTTTTTTGTGCCGTCTGATGCCTGTGGACTCGTCGTATGCGTGTGCCTGTTCTTCGTTTGTGTGAGTGCTATTTATTTGTGGTGGCTGTGTCCGCCTGGCCTCTCCTCGCTGCTGTGCCCCGCACCCCACTGCGACTGCTCGTGGATCTATCGTACATTCACCCCATCCACCATCGATTACGTGTGGGTTGGACTCAGTCGAGGAATTGTTGAAGACAGAGGGTGCCATGGCGTGGCGCCATTATGGCAAAAACGGCTGATTCTTCTTGCTTGCTAGCTCGCCAAACCACACACACCATGCACAGAAGCCTCTGCTGCTCAATCTCTGCTTGCATCGCCTCCGTGCAATCCAATCAAATGGACACCCAAACCGACCAAACAGCTTGCCCGTTGGCCCCCCTCTGTCTGTCTGTCTGTCAGTCATCGTCAAGATCGATGACGTCGGCGTGCCTGCGTCTCGACTGGCGGCTCTCAATGTGGTCCAACACCACATCGTCGCCCTCGCCCTCGCCCATCCCGTCCTCCTGGCTCTCATACCCACTCTCACCTCCAGCACCTGCACCACCAGTAGCAGCAGGCCACTCCTCGTCCGAGTCGCCCGTCAGGTCCACACAAACACTGTCAGTGTCCTCCCTGGGTGGTGCGGCGGCCGATGCAGAGGCAGCAGCAGCAGATGCTGCTGCAGGCATGGGGGGCGGAGGCCCTGGGGGGGCCGCCTGTGCGAGCCGCTGCTGCTCCCTCTGCTGCTTCCGTCGCTGTCTGAGGGTCTGGTGAGCGTCTCTGAAGATGGCCGGGATACTGCTCGAGAACTCGGGGAGGTCATACAGAGCAGATGTCAGCACCTGCACACACACACACACACACACATGGTTTGGGGCGGTGCATATGCTTCTCGTGAGTGTGTGTGTCAGGTGGGGGGAGAGCGTGCCTGGAGTTTGTCGTTGACGTATTGCGAGACGGTGGCGTCATCGGCGCTGGACAGTGTGCCGATGAACTCGTCCAAGTCCTCCTCAAACAACTGCACACACACACACAGACGCAGACACACACACACACAGAGAGAGAGAGAGAGAGCGATGTGCCCATCGTGTGTGTGTGGATGACCTCGTGACCTGGAAGTATGAGAGCGCTTCTTTCTTGTACCACTTGACGGCCTGGCCCTTCATCTCCAGCAGGCTGTGCAGCTGATAGATTGGCGACAGAGCAAACACACACACACACATATGACGGCAGGGCAACACAGCACAGCCCAGCAGGTTTGTGTGGCTGACCGTTTTGCGCCTCTCTGCGTCGTGTGTGAGCCAGTGGACTATGGCGCTGCAGCTCAACACCTTGCTCGTCAGACAGGGGTCACACCCGTCGTACGCTGACCAATCCCATCACACATAGCCAGACAGAAAGACATACAGACACGAACACACAAAGTTCCACCCGCACTTTCTCTCCCTCACCCTCTCGCCATTTGTGTGGGTCTTGTATGAGTGTCATCTGCTTGACCTTGCGCTGCTTCTCGTCCTACTCACACACACACACACTTTTGTGACATCAGCATCTCTGACAGCGCAGCGCATCGCAGCGCACCTCCTTCTTGGCCTCCTCGGACTGCCGCTGCGCCTCCCGTATGCCGAGCGCCTCGTACACGTCGGTTGACTTGGCTTGTGCCATCTGCTTGGCGAGGTGGAAGTGCTGTGGGAGGGGGAACTGCAGCAGCGACTCGACCGAGTCCTTGTAGTTGTAACCCAATTGCAGCAAGGACGACAGACACAGCAGATTCACTGCAGACACAGACAGCAGGGGTGCTGTCTCTTTCTGGAGGGGCGGGGGCTCGGGGGGATCGCTTGCCTCGTTCCTCGCCCGGCACTGCATAGACGGTGACCCCAGGGGGCACCCCGTCCTCTGTCTTGAGGACGTCAGCACCATCCTCCTTCTTCACCCTATCACAGACACACACATAGACACAGACGCAGACGCAGACACGTACACAACACACACACACACACATGAATCGACACATCCACACCATGCTCTCACTTGTTGGGGTCCGCGTCGCCCTTCCTGCCCTCGTCCTCATCGCTATCGAGATCGATAGGGTCGTCCTCACGCCCCGTGTGGCCGCTCACCGCACCCAACACGCCAAACCCAAACCATTGGCCAGCACTTGCACTCTCACCACCACCACTGTCACCACCACCACCGGCACCAGCAGCAGCAGCGGCCGCACTACTAGCCGCAGCAGCAGCAGCGGCATTGGGATTTCCCCCGGCGGCCCCCTGCTGCTGGCGCTTCTTCTTCTTGTCGCACCAGTTGCAGCGAATCGTCTGACTGGGGATGGTTATCTGGTACAGCTGCTGCCTGCAAAAACATGACGGCTGGTCTGTGTGCAGCTGTGTGGCGTGTGTCTGTGAGTGAGTGTGGTCACTTACAAGTTGTTGGCTATGTGTGCGTTGAGTGTCCACTGGAAGGTGCCCTGATCCTTGCACAGCGGACAGGGCGCGCCGGGAGGCAGCATAGGAGGAGCCAGCCGAGCAAAGGGCGCAAACCTGATACCATACCATCCAGGCAAACCAAAACACAAGGGGGGATAGACTAGATGGTCGCTCTGCTCCGGTCGGGTCTGCTCGCCCACTCACTCCTGCATGAGTGCCGCCTGCTGAAGCATCTCCATATGCGGCAGCATCATCCCACCGAAGCCACCACCAAAGTGTCCGCCACGCCCCAGGAAGGCACCCGGTCCGCCGCCCCTCCTGGCCCTTCCTGACCGCCCATCGCCCGGTGGCTGCTGATGCGCCGACCGCCGCATCTTGCTCGCCCGCCGCCTCGCCATTGGTGAGTCGTCGTGTGGGTGTGGTGGACGGGGGGGAGGGAAGGGGGGCGAGCGCGGGTGGAAGGGGTGTGAAGGGTGAGCCCCGCCACCGCCACCGCCAGCCGCTGCCGCAGCGGCAGCTGGCGGCTGAATAGGCAAGAAGCCGTAATCCTCCAGCTCGTCCATCTCGTCCATCTCGTCCTCATCGTCATAGTGCTCATCATCATAGTCCATCGGCATCTCATCCTCGTCGTCGTCGTATGGCTCCATCTCGTCACCATTCTCGCCCTCACCCTCACCTTCGCCATTGAGCCGCTCAGTCGTGTCCGAGTTCTCCTCGCGGTCAGAAGGATCACGACGGGCACGGCCGCCACGGGGCGGACGGGCAGCCACGGCTGGGAGGGGGGGCGGTCGCTGGACGAATGGTGGCCGCAAATGGCGAGGGAACGGTCGCGGTGGCTGCTGTAGATTCATGGGTGGGTGAGGGTGAAGTGACGCGGCCGCTGGTACTTCGCCCTGATCCGGCGGCTCATGGCTGCGAGCAATCACAAACACACACACACACACACACACGCACACAGAGAGAGATTGGCATGGCAGCCCACATGAGGTGAGGTGGTTGCCTCGATAGCTCACGTGATGCTGCTGACGAGGCGTTCTACCAACACGTTCTTGCTGCCGGACACGGGGAGGCCCCTCTCTCTAAGCTGCTCTTTCAGCTGACTCTGACACGAGCAGCCGCACGCAAAACCACACGCACAAGCCAGCGAGAGTGTGTGAAGTGAGAGGGAAAGTCGGGAGGTCATGAGAACAGCCTTACCACGGAGAGTCGCCGCTTTTGGGCAAACAAATCCTCTTGGTGCGATGCCATTATCACCAACACGACTCTGCTACGTTTTTCATGGGAAAAGCTTGCAGATCTCTGCGAGCTTCAGCTTGCGAGTTGCCCTCTCTCCTTCTTCCCTTCTTTCCTCCTCAACGGTGAAGACGTCCTACTGACTGCATCGGCCGTTGATCAAAGATAGATGGATGGATGGATCCCACATAACATACACACGGCAGTCAGGCACACATAAACGGACGAAGAACACAGACAGACAGACAAACAGACATCCACGTGTGTGTGGTGTATGAGCTATGAGCAATAAACAACAGGCGGCTAGAAAGTCAGTGCCTTCATGGACGGACGACCTAATAAACAAACACCTCACACACACACACACATGCAATTCAGCACTCACACCACACACACACTCACATGACACGCCCATCGTAATGAACAATAAAACTCACAAACAAACGCCTCTCTGTCTGTCTCCCCCCTTGTGACATGCAGCGCTTCACCGACCCGACTGACTCCATTATTCCACTCAGCTATGCCCTGACTGACACCTGGTTTTCTCTTGACTGATGATTTGTTCGTTCATTCGACCTTTGGGGCGCCAGGTGGGTAGGGGCGGTGGCCATGCAGCTCGCCACCTGACACCTGCACACACACACACACACACACACAACACACACACACAGAGACACGAGTGTGACGTGACGCCCACAATCCACTCCACATGTGGCTGGACCTGCAGCAGCAGCTCTGGCGATCGGTATAGCTTGATAAGCGTGAAGTACAGCTTGTACTCCTTGACCAAATCACCACGCAACCTGGACCACACACACACACACACACAGGTCCGTCCCATGATTGATTGCACTCGATCGACCGACTTGACTTGCCTGGCGGTGTAGACGCCATTACAAATGTCCACAAACAGATCCACGTTGGGCATCTCCTCGTAGATGACCCGCTGCGACGCCCCCTGGCACATGAGCCGCAGGAACCGCCCAATGGCCAATACCACCGTGATATACAGCCCCACCACACTGAGGTTCTGCCCCCCACCGCCCCCCTGCGCGCTCCCAGACGAGAAGGGCAGCACGGGGGGCGACACCACCACGAGCGTGAACCGCCCCCTGGGGTCGCTGGTGTCGGGGCACTTGTCCGATTGGCCGCGTGAGGCGCTGCTGCGTGTGTTGGTGCCGTTGATGATCCAGTAGTGCTGCTGCGAGCCCGAGAAGGTGTCGTTGGAGGTGAGGAGGAAGAGCGTGGCGTTTCTCCGCTCGCCGTGGATGCTCGACACGCCGGTCTCGCCGAGCTCGGCATAGGGGTTATAGAAGCGATCCACTGGTGGTTGTGTTGGTTGACACATACAAACACACACAAATGGATGGAGAGATGGCAGGATGGTGCGTGTGTGGAGGTGGGTGGGGGGAGGGGTACCGGTGAGTTCGGTTCGGGTGCCGTTGAGGAGGGCCTTCAGCTGGTCCGCAAAGCGCAGCACGTCGGTCGTCTGGCCACCTGCACACACACACACACAGATACCGCACGAGTGCTCACACACATCCCTTTCTCTGTCTGTGCATCCCTCTGCCTCTCTCTATATGTGTGTCTATCGGGAAGCGCTTCATACCTTCGACGAACGTCTTGGTGTTGCGGCCCTTCAACTCATAAGATAGCTCCAGCTGAGCCGACCGGGGCTCCTGCACCCATACCAGCCACACACCCACACCCATTAGGATGTGTCAAATGTGTGTGTCTGTGAGTCTGTGTGTGTGTTTCTACGCTGAGAGCGTCAACGGTGGCTTGTATGAGTGCGGGCGAGACGAGAAAGGGCGTCGTGGAGGCCTCGGGGAATACGACCGACTGTATGTCGGCGTTGCTCTCCGTCAGAGGGAAACTCCGGAGGTACCTGCGAATCTCGCACTTGCTGAAATCTGCACACACACACACAAACACACACACACACATGAGTGGGAGAGGGAGAGAAAGGGCTGCATAGCATAGCATACCTCTGATTGTGACGGCGCTTGACGCTTCGTAGAGCGGCACCACGAGTGTGTCGGTGCTGGACTCGACCCGCAGGCTGACGGTCGAGGTGGCGTCATCGACGCGGTTGGAAATGCGCACCTGCACATACGCTCATCAGTGGATCAGTGCGTCAAGATCGTGTGTGGCTGTCTGTCTGCCTGTGTGTGTGTGAGGTGGGGGAGGAGGGGGCAGCTTACGGGATTGAAGGAGGAGAACAGCAGGATGGGCGCTAGGAGCAGCAGCACCAGGCCCACAATGCCGCACAGCCCCTAAACCATCCACACACACCACACTCCACACACGCAATCCCCATCTCCCGACCTCATCCCTCCCTCTTGATTGCTCACGAGTCCGATCTTCTCAGATAACCACCTGTGCTCCGCCGGGTAGTACATTTTGCGGACCGTCATGTCGCCCTTGACGAAGTAGAGGCTGCTGTAGGCGTCCTCTAGCTTGAACCACATGAACGTGTCGAGGGACGTCTTGGCGACCGTCCAGTCGAGCAAAATCCGGATCTCCTCTAGCAGCGGGATGGATCGGTATACTCTATACCTGACCAAAGCAGAGAGAAGCAGAGCCGTCCAGCCATGTGTGTGTGTGTGTGTGTGTGCTTACACAGTGCGGTTGAACAAATGTGTCGACGACGTCAGATTGTGCCCCCCCGTGGAGGCGGGCAGGTCGTGGTGGATCTGCCTGGCCAGCAGGACGAAGTAGGCGTAGATCAGAAAGTAGTAGATGAGCATGGCGGGGTTGCCCCACATGCCGATCTCCAGGTCGGTAACGTCCTGGTCGGGCTGGGCCATGCGGTGGATGAAGAGGATGTGGATCGCCAACACCTCCGCTATGAGCAGAATCACCTGCACACCACACACACACGCAGAGAGAGAGAGAGAGAGGTGGGAGAGAGGGAGAGGGGGGTATGGGTACCTTTGCAGCCTTGACGGTTTTGTACACCCTTCTTTGCCGGGGGGGAAGGGATGAGTCGATCTCTTTGAAGGACAGCCTGACCACCGACACACGCAAACACAAACCGGCCCATGGACGCCAACCATTGACTTGACTGCGCCCGCTTGCCTGTAGAACATCCTGTCGATGATGATGATAGCGATGTGGACAATCATCACCAGAACCATCCCCTGCCCGAACTGGTTCCTCCGGAGGCTCTCTGTCAATGTCTCACCTACACACACACACACATAACCACACACGTAACCACCCCACATTCACAAATCCAGGAAATCTAGGCAGGCAGAGAGGCAGAGAGGCGTGCAGACGCACCTGCGCCCCAGATGACGCTATATGATATGAGGACGATCAGCAGCTGGCAGAGGGAGAAGGTGAACATCCAGGGGTACAGGTCCACGCCCGGCTTCTTCACCTTGCCCCCACCTGCACAGCACACACAGCCGACACACACATACCATACCCACACCACTCGGACATACAGTGCCTCCCTCCCTCCCTCCCTCCCCCTGTCGACGGTCGTCGTACCCATGATGCTCCTGTTCCACAGGCTCATCAGCGTGAGGCCTCTCTGCTGCCCGTCTCCTCCTGCTGGTGTGCCCTCCTTAGCCCCACTAGCACCACCACCACCAGCTCGTCTTTCGTCTCGCCTCTTTCTCTCCCTCCCACCACCAGCAGCACCGCCACGGCCGCCGCCACGCACCCCCCACCGGCCCCTGCCTCTCCGCCTCTTCGTCGCCTTGCTGATCTCAGGGTCGCTCATATACCGCGGCACACGGGGCTCTGACGGTGCCGTGGTGAGGCGGCTGCTGCTGGTCTTGTCCGTGTCCCTGGGGAGCATTGGCATGGCGGGGATGATGGGCATGCTCTCGCCTGGTGGGTGGGATATGGAGGAGACGATGGACGAGGAGGTGGGGTGTGGGGGGAGGGAGGGGAGGGGCAGCAGTGGGGGCGATCCTGGCGACCGGGGAGAGAGGGCGAAGGTCACCATCGGGAAGGAGGAATCGTCTGAATCATGCACGAAGACACACGGGCAACCACGTGTATATGTGTGTGTGTGTGTGTCAGGTACCTGCCGGCATTTCCACGCCGCTGAGGACGTTGTCGTCGCTCCAGACATCCATCCCATCCTCCCGCTGCTTCTCCCTCCTCTCCCTCTCCCTCTCTCGCCGTCTCTCTCTCCCCCTGTTCCTCTCCCTGTCCCTCTCCCTGTCTCTCCGTCTCCGATGCACGCCCACGCGATGGTGATGGTGCACACCCCTCTCTCTCCTCTGCTGCAAAGACGGCACCACCTGCACCGAGGGCGGCTTGTACTGCAGCCCCCTGTCGACTTCGGAGTACTGCCAGAGGCCCGTCTTGCGGAGGAACATGAAGTGGAGGCAGAGGGTAGCGAGGAGGAGGTAGTCGGCCCACACGGCGTTGAAGAGGGAGACTTCTCGGAGGGACGAGAGGCCGCGCACCTTGTAGACGCCGATGATCACATCCCTGCAGCACACACACACGGAGAGAGAGAGAGAGAGAGAGGGAGAGTGGCGCTTGGAGAGGCATGTGTCTTGTGTGGTGTTGTGTTCTCTGTGTACCATGTGACGTTGAGGGGTGCCTGGCAGGGCAGGTCGAAGACCAGCTCCGCACAGAAGAAGCTCAGCTGGTAGCAGGTCTTCAGGAGCACTATGGCGAGGGTGTAGCCGATCATGCCGACCCAGAAGCCGTGGGCCGCCATGGGGTACACGATCAGCCCGTAGCAGATGATGGCCAGACCCTGTTTGTTGCAACACACACACACACAGAGACACACACAGACACACACACAGAGAGAGAGAGAGAGAGAGCGAGACAGATAAAGGACAGCGAGAGGTATGGCGCGCGTGTGTGTGGCCCATCCAGCGCACGACCCTCTCCTCCCCGCCCTCCCTGTGTGGGTGTCTGTGTGTGTGTCCCCTCCGTACTGATAAAGCGCTCAGCACAGTGCGGCCATTGGCGAACTGCAACGCGGCCGCCACCGCCACATAGAACAAGGTGTAGCTGAAGAGCGCCTTCCACACCAGCATAAAGGCCCCATTGCCCTCTC